AAGGAAGTTAAATATCAACTAATCAAATAGTCAATGCATTTTCCATCGACTATTCAATTAGTTGATAGGGCGATTCCACCTTTGACAGGGGAGGGATAGCTCAGTGGTTTGAGCATTGGCCTGCTAAACCCAGGGTTGTGAGTTCAATCCTTGCGGAGGCCATTTAGGGATTTGGGGCCAAAATTTGTCAGGGATGGTACTTGGTCCTGCTGTCAAGGCAGGGGACTGGACTAGATGACCTTTCAAGGTCCCTTCCAGTTCTAGGAGATAGGCAAGCTCCATTATTAAAATTAAAATAGAAGTTTAGCAACAGCCCTAGGACTATTATTACACTTCAAAGGTGAAAGCGCCACATGGAGCTTGGGACTAGCTGAATCTGGGCTCCCCACGGTGCTGCTGCTTTGAAATGCTGCAGAGAGCCTGACACTGGGCTCCCTGGGGCATTTCAAAATGGCAGCGCCACACGGGACTCCAGGTCAGTGGGCGAATCCTCAGCTGGCCCTTGGCTGCACACCACCACTTTGAAGTACTCCCTCCTCTTCCCCCCACCCCCTTGCTGCCTCTTTTTGATAGAGGCAGCAGGGGGGAGAGGGAGAGGGAGGTGAAAATCAACTAGTCCTTCACATCCCTACTGAGTATGAGCCACCAAAGGAATTTCCCTTGACACATGGGGAAGAAGGTTCTGACAGGCCACTAAAATTATGGAGATGTTACTCAACCTAAGACAACCTGTGGTTTAATAATCACAAACACATTTTCATGTTATACGAGCCATAGTTCTGGTAGGGAATGTATTCTGAGATTGAATAAATTAGCATTGTCATGGAATGTAGGGGTTCTTGACAAGACCTTGTATACAGGTTAATAGGAAGAGCAATCACAAGAAAAGTTACATGCCACCAATAATGTTACCTAGTAGCAAAGATTCCCTACCCACAGTTATTAGAAAGAGGCAATGATGCAACCTGGAAGACTGGATAAAAAAAGTTTGGAAAGCAATCCCAAAGCTCCACAGACAGCAAGCTTAGAACTTTTCTTATCTAAGCCATCTTTCCTGCAGTTCTTTCAGGCTGGATGCTTACGGTCTTTTGCTAACAGAGAAACCACATATCTATGCATGTGGACTAGGGATGTTATAGTGAGGTCAACTAAACGATTAAGATATGCAGGAGCTTATCGGTCAACGTTATCAGCTATACATATTCCCCCCATTCCCGTGGCTCTGCAACGTGTTTTTTTTTTTAAATGGGCTGGCTGACAGGCTGGTCCAATCCCAGGCTTCCCATTATGGCTCTGCATTTTTAATAGACTGGGGAGTTGGCCCCTAATAATGCAGGTCCACAGTAGGGATTATGCTGGGACCCAGTATGAGCCAGAACTGAGCGTTTAACTGATAAGGGTTAGCAGTGAAATCAGGTAGTCGACAAAATTTGTCAGCTACACAATTAATGAATTACACGTTTCTTAACATCACTAACGTGGACTGGCACAGAAAGCCCCAGGTGTCCAGTGTTTGCCCCAGAATTAAGAGGAAATTTGTACTTTGACAACTAATTAGAAAGCTTATCAATAAAAGTTTAAGTGAGTCAGGAAAAAAAACTTGTTTTTGACTCCTGAGAACTGCCTTCATTTATATCTGCAGTACAGGCAGTCCCCGAGTTACGCGGATCCGACTTATGTCGGATCCGCAGTTACGAACGGGGCCATTCCTCTCCCTGGTCTCCAGCAGACCAGGGAGAGGAAGCAAAGCGGTGGAACACGTGGGCAGCGGACAGGGCTGTCCGCTGCCCACGCGCTCCGCGGCTTGGCTCTGCTTTGCCCCCCCGTCCCCCTGGTCTGCAGACCAGGGGGACGGGCGGGAGGGGGGGGAAAGAAGAGCCAAGCCGCGGAGCGCG